GCCTCCTGAACCACCAGATCCTGAGCTCGACGAGATGCTTCTGGTGTATCCTCCTGTCCCTCCAATTCCCCCTGACCCTCCACCGATTCTCTTAGCTGCAAGTGTGCTATCTGTCCAGCTTCTGTTGATGCAGCCTTTACTGGATGAAGCCGAACTCTCCAGCTCTCTCACCACTAGACGGGTCTCCTCCTGCCTCCAACTAATTCCGGTGTCAAAGCCGAGAAACTTGGTCTCTTGTGAGAAGCATGTTCCGTTTAAGTCTTATTATCAACAAGAAGCGGTGGTTTTTGAGAGCTCTTCTGCAAGTTTATTGGGGTTTCTGATAGCTGACTGCAAGCTTACCTTCATTCAATACTCATCACTTCAAGTTCTCGAGGACTGGATTTCGAATGTTGAAATATTGGAGGAGGTGGGTTATCATTGTGCAACTTTTATTACCTCAGTGAAGCGTTTTGGAGTGCATCTCTCCACTGCTTTGGGCAGTTCTCAGTCAAAGTCTATCCTTCATTTGAAACCTTGGTCACTTGTTGGACCCATCTCTCCTTGCTCCGGGATTCCGCAAGGTATGGTGTTCATGTCTTACTGGAAGATTATGCTGTTTTTGAATGGCTCTTTACCTCTTATTGAGGATGTTATAAACTTTATGAGCTTCAGGCTTAAGCTCCATCTACCACAGTATGAAGTTGTTATCTGGACCTTTTCCTTTGTGGCTATGGATGCTATTGTTTCAGGTTTGGTTATGTGGCCATGGCAGTTCGTCCCACAGCAATCAAACTTTTGGAAGATATGTTTGGCTAATGGAACTTGGATCTTAGGTTCTAATCAAAACGCCAAAGTTGGAACTCTGCAGAAAGCTCTCCACTCAACATTATCATCTGGATTCTTAAATCTTCAGATTCTAGCGGACTCTATTGTCCTCTTCTTTGCCCTGCGTTCGGGGTTGGATTTGATTGAGATTACAGGCTTCTCCCTTGTTAGAAACCTTGTCCCTCTCGTCATTCCGTTATCAAACTTTTATCATTTATGCATAACCCTATGTTTAATGGTTGTTGCTTTTGTAATGGGTGGTGTCCCCAAACTTGGTTCTTAAGTACTCTGATTTGAGTTATGAATTAAAATTGTTGACAAAAAAAAAACGTAACGAAAGTCAATTAACACGAATAGACCAAGTATGAATAACTGAAGAGACATATAGTCGTTGATTTCGGTTGGGTTCAGTAAGTTTAAGAAATAAAAACATATAAAAAGACTGTTTTGCAAGTTGCAACTAGAGAACAAAAAGTTTTTCAGCTTGCTTTTTGCTTATTTATTTTTGCTGTTTTCAACGTTTTAACAAAGAAAAAATCGTACAAGTAGACAGACAATTCGTAACAAAAAGAAACGAAAACTTCTATCGTTCATCTCATGCATTGGGGAGTCAGAAAAGTCAAACGTCTGGAAGATGACTTTTTGTCAAATGTAAAATTAAATCAAACATATAAACAAATTAATAAAAATCAATTTCGGTTGGAGAATAGTTGTTACGGTTACGTGATGTCAATATGTTATGCAACATTGCAACGTGTGAAGATAATTAGCCGCCAACATAACCCACACACGCATTATATTAGTTCTACTAGGTGTTGTGCCCGCCTTGCGGGCATAATCTTCTTACAGATATAACTCAACATAATAAACTATTATTTATGCTTTCTCACATATTAGAAATATTTGAAAAAATATCATTATACAAATTTAATTGATTAATTAATATTTAATTTTAAATTTTATTACATTTATATTTATTTTTGTAATAAAATAATATTATTTTCAGATAACAACACAATATCTATAAAACTTATCTTATTTTTGTAATATGTATTTATTTTGACAATTATCATATTAATTTATAATCAAATTTTTAATTTTTGTAATAAAAAAATATTATTTCAAGATAACAACACCATATCTATAAGAATTATCTTATTTTTGTAATGTGTATTTATTTTGACAATTATCATATTGATTTATAATCAATAATCTAATATAACATATAAATCCAATATTATTATTAGAAATTCGTTTTTAATTATATATAAAATTCATTAAGGGTAAAATAGATATTAAGCGCTCTAACTTTGAACGTGGAAGTTCCATTGCGAAAAATCACTTCGCAAATAATAATAATATATTATTTTCAGATAACAACACAATATCTATAAAACTTATCTTATTTTTGTAATATGTATTTATTTTGACAATTATCATATTAATTTATAATCAAATTTTTAATTTTTGTAATAGAAAAATATTATTTCAAGATAACAACACCATATCTATAAGAATTATCTTATTTTTGTAATGTTTATTTATTTTGACAATTATCANATATTATTTTCAGATAACAACACAATATCTATAAAACTTATCTTATTTTTGTAATATGTATTTATTTTGACAATTATCATATTAATTTATAATCAAATTTTTAATTTTTGTAATAGAAAAATATTATTTCAAGATAACAACACCATATCTATAAGAATTATCTTATTTTTGTAATGTTTATTTATTTTGACAATTATCATATTGATTTATAATCAATAATCTAATATAACATATAAATCTAATATTATTATTATAAATTCGTTTTTAATTATATATAAAATTCATTAAGGTTAAAATAGATATTAACCGCTCTAACTTTTAACGTGGAAGCTCCATTGCGAAAAATCACTTCGCAAATAATAGTATAGATTACTAAGAAATTATCCAACCAACTTCGTAGAAAAACTCGACTTCTTTGTACGGACGCATCTCATGTACAACCATTTTCACATTGCTCAACCAAACATGTTATATGTAATGCATATTACCATTACCGGTCTTGAGGGGAAGCATTACAAGCAACCGCTTCCGGCCCTCAAAAAATATTTGAAAAAATCAGTCTTTTTTAGAAGAAAATTATTATTATGATATATAAATGATTTTATAAAAATGGTCATTTTAGAAAATTGATTCTGGTCTTTCCTATGTCAGGACCGGTATTGCATATTACGTTTAACTTCCTACGTATTTTGGTGTTGTTGTTGTATATAATACACGTTTAGTTTCATAATAACGAATGGTAATCTAAAAGTGTGAAGAATTCATGTTAGAGTTAGGAAAATTTATTATAGTTTGAATATTATTATTATTATTATTATTTTTGCTAAATGGTAAATATTATTGATCATTAATGAAAGTTCAGTTACAAACTTATTTGCAACCACAATCTGTAAAGAACTGGTTTGATCCTAAATCGCAAATAAATTTAAAAACCACTAGAATACAAGAGATTAATTCCAAGCTACCAACAAAGGAAACTTGAAGTTAATAGGTAATGAGATCAAGTAAATCAATATAGTCCCCTAATCGAAGTGCTTCTTGCAGAAGCAAGAGAATATCTTGTGTAATTTAGTTGACAACTCATTGAAGTGGTTCTGAGCAGGCATCAACGGCAGTGCCTGGCATATGCACCGGAGCTCCGCTGGAGGAGGACGTCGACCAACAAACCTAGCTATCTCAACTGGGAGACAAACGCTCCGCCATAGCACTACTGCGTACAAGGAAACTCGACTTACGATCATGCATAAGCGGTACAACAGGCTCCAAAAAGGAGGATGCAGCAAAAACCACGAAGGAGCACACAGTCAAACCTATCGGAGCTTCGAGTGAGGCATGAAGTATAGAAGGAGGAATAACTCTCCTTGAAAAACATGCATCCCATCAGGTGATAGAGAAATCCGGCGACTAGCAAGTGAGTCACCACATCGGGTTGTCCTCAAACTCTAGCAGACGACGTCGGAAGCAGGAAGAAGGAATCGAACATATCGCCATTTATAGTTGTTGTCACTTGAGCAAAGCGAGAGGTCCCCAACGAGTTCTTCAGTCTTGCCGTTTCGTCTCAGACCATGGAAGCTAAACAGTGAAGCTCTAAGTTTACGGCCCGACGGAGGAGATAGTAGAAAGCAGGGGAGACGGAAGGTCGGAGGAAAAGAAGCAGCGACGCGCTTCATACTGACACACCTCCATGGCGAATCTGACCCAAAACTACCTCAAGATAAACCTAGATCTACCAAATCGACGGCATCTCTTGCAAGCATACAGATCCTGACGACCTCACCCTCTCTCCAGTGACACTGGGTACGCACCCAACCATCGTTTTGTCATCGGATCTGGCCATAATCTGCCACAACCAAAAAAAGAGGATCAAGGAGGAGAAAAACCTTTAGCACGAGAGAAATTGGATAGGAAAGAAGATTAGGGATGGCGGACCGACGAGATAAGCTCCACCGCCGGCCACCAAAAAAAAAAAAGAGGAAGAGTTTATGCTGAATGAGAAAAGCTATATCTTTTATGCTTGGCTTATGTTGTAAATGCTAATAACCACCACCAGGACCATATATCAGTATTGTTCTGAAATCCACCCATTGTATAAGCATGTTATAATTTTTAAAGTTAATGTATTTTATTTGTTTTGGTTGAATGTATATTCATTTCTAAAGTTAGAGTATGATTGATTTTTAGGTATACAGTTACCAATTGACGATCAACAATTTTTATAGCTCAAAATCAGTCTCATAATAGTGTGCACATTGCTTTGAGACCGACCATTGATAGTCCAATTAAAAAAACAGAACTTTTCCTGATACTGATTAGCAGTCTTAAATTTTCTTAGTACGATCTCATGTGTAAACTGACGCTCCCGGAAATGTGCCGGTTACGTCTCCAGTTTGAAAGCCACGTGTCAGTAACCCACTTCGTCCGTTCACTAACTTTGTCTCCTTGGGTTTCTCTATATAAACCCAATCCAACTTCCTCTTCACACTCCTTTATTTAAAATCTCACCAAACCAACAAAATTTCCGAAAAAAAAATAACAATTTCAAACCTTTTTTTTCTCCCTGGAAAATTTTCCTACACCACAACCCAATTAAAACTCATTAATCCTTGTAAAAAAAACACAACAACTATTCAAATATGGTTATAGATTCAGAAACCAGTGGTACTCATCACCGGCGACTCACTTTCGCCGCCTTCTTAAACACCAATCTCTCCGCCGACGAAGAAGAACAGAGCCATGGTGCTGCTGCTGATGTCATCAATCCAAGTAGTAACAAGAACAACAAGAACAACCAACAACGTCAAAGCAATGCTTCCACCACGAGCGGTGACTCGTCTCCTAATCAGATTCTATCTCCATGGAACCAGACTTACTCTCCGTACTACACCGACACAACAACAACTACGCCGATGATGTCTCCCTCCCCGTGGAACCAGACTTACTCACCTTACTACAAGTCCCCCTGGATCTACCAGACACGAAACAACATCGATGATGATTCAGACAATGGTTTGATCGGTACGATCGTGAGACAAGAAGGTCACGTCTACTCGTTAGCTGCTTCTGGAGATCTTCTATTCACTGGATCCGATTCCAAGAACATTCGGGTCTGGAAAGATCTCAAGGATTTCGCCGGGTTTAAATCAACAAGCGGTTTAGTTAAAGCGATTGTGATAACCGGAGATAACCGGATCTTCACGGGTCATCAAGACGGTAAAATCCGGGTTTGGAGAGGCTCTAAAAGAAGAACCGGAGGCTACTCACGAATCGGAAGCTTACCGACTCTTAAAGAGTTTTTAGCGAAGTCGGTTAACCCCAAGAACTACGTCGAGGTTCGTCGCCGAAAAAACGTTCTTAAGATACGACACTACGACGCCGTTTCGTGCCTGAGCTTGAACGAAGAGCTCGGTTTACTCTACTCCGGTTCTTGGGACAAGACTCTCAAAGTCTGGAGACTCTCCGATTCCAAATGTCTCGAATCGATTCAAGCTCACGACGACGCCGTCAACACCGTAGCCGCCGGGTTCGACGATTTGCTATTCACCGGATCCGCCGACGGAACCTTGAAAGTGTGGAAACGTGAGCTTCAAGGAAGAGGGACGAAGCATTTTCTTGTTAACGTGCTGATGAAGCAAGAGAACGCTGTGACGGCGTTGGCGGTTAATTTAACGGCGTCTGTTGTTTACTGTGGATCTTCTGACGGCACGGTTAGTTTTTGGGAAGGGAAGAAGTATATTTCTCACGGCGGGACTCTCCGCGGCCACCGTATGGCGGTACTCTGCCTCGCCGCCGCCGGGAGTTTGGTGCTGAGCGGCGGAGCGGATAAGAATATTTGCGTGTGGAGGAGGAACGGTGATGGGACACACTCGTGTCTCTCGGTGTTGATGGACCACGTGGGACCCGTGAAGTGTTTGACGGCGGTGGAAGAGGCGGAGGAGGAAGGAGTTGGAAGGTGGATAGTGTATAGCGGAAGCTTGGATAAATCGGTGAAGGTGTGGCGAGTGAAGGAGACGGCGTCTCCGGTGTTAAGCTGAGATGTGTCGTGGAGGAGGAGAGATTACGCGCCGTGTTAGCGCGTGAGGATTCGGAGTTAGAAGAGGAATGATCCGCGGGACATGTGACTCCTGCCTTAATGGTCAAGGCAAGTTTTTGGGCCGACAAAACTAAGCAAATCAAACAACCAATAAGAAACTGCCATATGATGAAAGTATCTAAAAGGTTTAGAAAGTTCCTCTAGTTTATTTGATCTTCATTGTAACTGACATATTTGAAGTACGTCTGAAGTAGAAAAAGAAAAGGGGAAATGATTCTGCTATGTTCAGAAAAAGGGGAAAACAAACCTTATATTATTTCATTTATTGTATTCCCTTAAATTATTTTGTTTATATAGTAAATGATGTTTAAAATGCGGTATTGGTTATTTGAATGTTTCTAATAGATAAAAAAATGTAATTTTATATCTGCACTTGTAATACGTACATTAAGTTGATTTGTTAATTTTTTCTCTTTGTTATGTTGTAGCCGTTGGAAAATGAGATGTAAAATTTTATTGGTGTCTTCATGAATTTATGTAACAAAGTAGGTTGTAAACCATACCAGTTTCCTACAAATTAACACTGACATACATAAATAACATTTTATTTCTATTTTCAAATAATATACAAGACCCCACACATTAAAGCAAGGCCAAGAATCTAATTTAGAGGCACTAGGATTCTTCTGCTTAGCAGGGAAAATTTGATTGATTCAACTAAATCTTGCAGAAGCTTTTAAGTTTTCAAAGGTTCTAGTGGAGGAACAAACAAGAAAACCAGCCAAACCTAAGATGTAGATCATCGATATATGGTTATATTTGTCCTTAAAAAATATATGCTCAACAAATGAAAAGCTCCATTCAAATGAAAGACTGGAATTGAACATCTAATGTTTTGTAGATGTACCTTAAAAAAAAAGGTTTAATTTTTGATTGCTGCCGCTAAAAGTAGCGTTGATGAAACGAACAAGGCTTATGTATAAATTTTTGAAGTGTTTCAAAGGTGTTAAAAAGGTATCATTTTTTGATATTGCTAGCTTTTACTTCATCCCAATAACCTAAACAGTTATTGGTATCATCTCTACTATTAGTTTGTTTGATGCAATATTTATTTTATAGTTGTCAAATTAAATAATTCAACTATCCACTTGATGAATTCGGGTCAAATGTTTTATTATAACTCTTTCCTCTCACATGGATGAAAATTTCTTTTATGCCAATTGGCACAAATAAAATTTATAATTGTCTACTTATAATTTATAATATTTTATGCCAATTGTCATTTTTTATAATTTAACAATTCATACTAGAAATTCAAGTCAAATGTTTAATTTAATCATTTCATTCATTATGCTATAGTAATATTTTATGCTATTTTGCATTAATCATTTTTTACAGTATTATTATTACTATATACAAATCAAACAAACCTCAAATCATAACCAATACTCGTTACCATTGGAAAAATCAATAAGCGTAAGGACACATCAAGTCAGAAATAAATACCACATAAATGGGCATTGTAGGATTCCTATTTTTCCTTGGGTTATTTTTGAAATTGATTGGTAGAATATTAAAATTGGAATTTAAGATTGAAATACGAATGGGATTATGGTAGGTTGATTTGTTAGTTCAATTTTTTGAAAAGAAGTATCCATTGAAAGATAAATGTAATATTTTATTGATGTCTTGATGAAAATGTATGTAAAAAGTCTCCCTTTCGTCCGATTTAAGTTTGATACAAATCTATGTACAAGCTATGCACGTTGACTATATACACACTCTTTTATTCCTAACATTTTTTCAACTATGATGAAATTTTAATAGATCTTTCTCTATCAATATTACCAAGCATGTTTTTGAATGTTGTACTTGACTTACTATCCGCTTTAAGAATATGGTGATTCATAATCATGTCATTAGCCATAAGATTCACGAGTTAAGTAAGTTTTAAAAACATAATAGTTAGTGAACTTTGATAGTTATATGATTTTCAGTGCAAGTTTATTCATAGGAGCATGTTCTAAAATTTTATTTTTTGTCTATGTGACTTTAATTTTGTAGTATGTATTAAGCCTATGCCTAATTTAGCTCATAAGGTTGAAATTTACAAGCAACTAGAATGTGCTTTCCGATTAAAAAATGAAGGTTGCAGTTTACAAAACAAACATCGTGAGGTTTGTCATGCTTATCCAACATAGTTAGGCAAAGCTCCACTAAGTTCATGTCCATTTGACTCTAATTTATTAAAAATGATTAAATCCATAGTTTTGACTAGTTTATTAAGAATCATTTAGCCCATAGTCTTGACTAATTTATTATTCAGATCTTCACATGTAGACTATTAAAAGTCTTAGTAGGTTAATCACAAATTCCACTTTTTTAATAATTCACTTGGACATTGGGAGGAATCTATATACTCCATTTATCATATAGAGTACAAGGATGGAATAAATAAATTGTAAAACACTATTACAACTCACGAACAAAATGATTTATACTCATGCACGCACTCAGCAGTCAGCACATAGGCTCATAGCTCCAACTAGGACTAATATATACGTTAAAAATTCTAAATTAAGAATTATTCAATACAAGTTCATATAATAGATATATAGTAACATAATTGGCACAATAATCCACAGTGTCGAGATCAGTTGCTTATATAACTATATATCTTTGAATCGTGCAACGATTTGGTTGCTTAGAAAGGAAAAAAAAAACTAGACAACAATATTGCTAAAAAGGACAATGACAAATACGTCATGTAATTCTGAAAAATAATTACCGAACTTTTCCAATTAATTGCCCATTTTGGATATAGTTTGAAACTTTGTCCTCAGAATTTCAAAAGTAGTATAACAAGATGTTACTGCTATTATGTATTAAGTTATATACAATGTGTATGAATTATTAGACATATCCGACCTTAGCTCAGTTGGTAGAGCGGAAGACTGTAGTAGTTGCAGATAATCTTTAGGTCGCTGGTTCGATTCCGGCAGGTCGGAATGTTTTTTTATTTTATTTTTAACACTTTTGTTTGGGCCTTGAGAAATAAAAGCCAACCCATATTTTCTTATGCACTTGCAATGTCTTGTTTAAAAATGCCTCAAATAAACCGTTAAGAATTGAATTGCACAAGAATCAGTTTTGTGGTTATGACATGTAACAAGATGTCTAAAATTTGATTATTCTTTTCATCTCATTCCTCAGCTTCTCTACTCCTACCAAATTTCGTTTAGAAGCTAACACATTCGATAAAGCAACATAATCTTCACACTCAGAACCAAGTTTGTTGTCCTCTCCTTTCATCACAAGAAGCGCCTTTCCAATCTCTATCACCCATCACAGTCTCTCCATAGAATCCTGCATGCATTGAAGAGACTTCTTAACAAGACATCACTGCTTTACCAAGAAGATCTACTATGCATCCGTATGTAAATCTCCATGCTCTGTTTCTGTATGTTGTAATGCTCGAGTGAAGCCAAAGAGAAGGCAAAACAAAAAGCAAAGAGATAGAGAAAGGGAAAGAATCAACAACACAACAAACCTGACAACATATCATCTTTCTTGGTACACACGTATCAATACCTAATTTGTTGGAGATTAGGCATTTACAAACATCTAAAAAATTACTTAAACCTAACTTGAGTTGCAATCCAAGGTTATATATAAATGATAAAACAACAACTTATCCACATCGAGAGACACTAACACAATGACACAGAGATAGAAAGAGAGTTTGAATTAAGACATCCTACACGAAATCACACCATAGTAACTAACAGAGAGAGTGATCTCTGTTTCAGACGTACTCGTTGACTCGATAGGCAGTCACTTTCAGAACGAAGTCTCTGGTTCTGAGCAGCTCGAACACGCAGACGTCACCTTCTCCAAGGTTGTTCTCCAAAGTGAACTCGTACCATCCTTGGCTGAACTTGGCTCTCCCTGCTTTGTAGAGGCATCTCACTGGCCATTGTTTCTCCCCGAGCTGGACCTTGATGAATCCCGAGATCCCACTTAAATACTTCTCAGCAAACCCTGAAGGCAGATACTGTTCAAACAAACACCAAACATCAGAGACAGTTGTGCTGTAATAATGTAGATGTTTTTTTTTTTTTTTGTTGCTTACCATGATGCAACCTCTGTATAGATAAGATGGTCGTAGAACAACTCTGAAGAAAGGGTTTGTTGGCTCGAAGGTTTTGGCTGCATTGATGGCTCTCTCTCTTTCTTCTGCAGTCACGGTTCTCTTTCTCGCAGAAGCACTCTCGTAGAACTTTGAACGGTTCTCTGGATCATCATCCCGTGGAGCAGATGAGTTTAATTCCTCTGGATAATAGATAACACCATCAAGAGAATCAATCTAAGTATGAACAAGAGTCTGCAGAAGAGTTTTAAAAGAGGAAAAATGCTTACCAGGAGCAGCGTTCTTCTTCTTCCTCCCTCTCTTTTTAGGAACTTTTGGGGTTGGTGTTGCCTCTTCAGCTGGTACAGAAAGGAAACATCTAGCATCAATCTTACAAGTAGGCCTGCGGGTTCGGGCAGTTTGGGTTATTTGGTTCGAGTAGTTCATTTTTTTGGTTAGTTCGGTTCAACATAAATCTTACAGAATTAATATGAAATAAAGTTCGGTACAGTACTAGGTTTTTCAAAATCATACCAAAGTTCTTGATTTCATTAAGATTTTGGTTTAATCTTGTTAAAATTTTGGAAAATTTCAGTTAAACTCGGTTAGTTTGGTTATTTCGGTTTGAATTTTTGGTTAGTTCCGTTTTTGGTTTAGTTTGGTTATAATTTTCTTTTTAAGTAAACCGAAATAATCGATTGCCGAACCAAAAACCAAACTTTAAAGAAAAACTACAGAATCGAACCGAACTCCTAACCTAACTAACCATAAATTTCGGTTCAGTTCGGCAGATTCGGTTCAAAATCCTAGCCCTACTTAGTATCAGTATGATCACAATAAACAAGAAAGATAAGAGGAAGTCACCTTTAACAGGTGCAGTGAAGAAGCTCTGGATAGCTGAACTAGCATGCCCTTTATTAGCGGATGCAGTAGTTTCCGGATGTGGTGATGGATACACTGAAGAAGAAGGATAAACAAGCTCAACATCTTCATCTTCAAGGTCTTCAAACAAACGTGCACGTTTGAAGTGGTTGTGTGCAGAATCCATTAGACCGGTGGAATGGTAATTGATCTCGGAGTGTGATAAGTTGTAAATGTAGACACTAAAGGCAGAGTTTCCTTCGTATCTAAAAATCAAAAGATAACCAATGCGAATTGAGTAACGGTCAACAAACTCTTGCCAACCATCTTGAAACCAGATTTTGTTGTTGTCAGCTTTTCTTAGTCCTACACGCCAAACGTGACCATCAGGTACTGTGAGTGCAACAGCTACCGATAGCTCGTCCTTGAATTTACTCACAAACTTATCTGGAACTCTCTGTAACAAAGCATACCAGGAATGAATATTATATTCAAAAAAAAAAAATTTAAATGGTTCTGTCAGGTTTGAAAGAAATCAACAAGAAGACACAGCCCGTTAGTTACTATACATGCAACAATTTACATTTAACTTTCTATAGACAGCTCATGTAACTTTCTAGGGAAATTCTTTACTTGTATGCTAAATTGAGAACCAACTAGTATTAGGGATTGTTCATAATAATCCATAACTAATCACCGTATCAACTGTTCTGAATATAAAGAGGATAATTAACAATAAATGTACTTTAAGTATTCTACAGAAAATCATTTTTATCTTAAGGAAACAAGCAAAGAGGCTTACAAAATAGACATAGAGAGAGAGAGAGAGAGACCTTACACACACAAAAAATGTAATTTACTACTCAGTTTCAATCACAAGTGACAACAATACACTATTATCAAACTGAAAACACAGTCAAAAATAGAGAAACCACAAACAGATCTCAACCTTTTTCTCCCTAGGAAATTGCATGAATCTAACAAAAGATATACATCAGAAGTCAACACACATTCCCAAACTGCACTCAATTTGCTATTAGATCATCAAAATCCTAGACCAGATAGTAGACTTCTCCAACCCATAACACCAAAACCAAAACAATGACCATAGTATACAAGATCCCATTATGTGAATTATATACAATACCAAGCTTACAAATTGAAACTTTTCTATTTTCCTAACTCAATTGTACAGCTCACAAAGCCGGAAAAAAAATACAAACTTGACTTGATTTTTTTACCAAGAATCAAAAAAATTTAATTCAAGGCACAAAGATCAAAACTTTGAAACCCAAAAGAAAAAAAAAAAGAAGAGATATTTGGAATACAAGGATTAGAAGAGGAGGAGAGAGGGAGTTTACCAGACGTTTTTCTTGGATAGTGGATGAGAAAATCAGCTTGTGGAAGAAAGGGCGTGGCATGTTCAGAGAGGAAAACAGTGATGAAGTAAGAGACCAAAGTCAGATCATGAAACGACGCCGAAGAATACACGACAGAGACAGAGAAGCACTTTCAGATCTGAAAGAGTTTTGATTGTGGTCAAAGGGGGTGGGGGGGGGTGTGGTGTTTAGGGACAACAACACTCTCTCTTCTCTTTTGCACCTGACTTGAGTGACCCAACCAAACCCCAAAGCTAAACTTAAAATAAAAACAAATAATGTTTTATTTGAAAAAAAAAACACAACTTGTACAGCTCCACCAGCGAGTTGACTCGGTGAGTCGAACCGGTTGGTCACTCGTGTGGTTTTATTATTGATTTCTTTTCTTTTTCTTTTTTGTTTAACTAATCAAAAGCCGACCGCCCCCACCTACTCCACTTTTTGGACCATCTTTTTTCTTTGGTTTTCATAAAAATAATACTACTTGTTTCATTTGACCAAAAAAAAAAAAAAATACTACTTGTTTCTTTTGGCCTTTATCAATATCACAGATAATATATTTACCTCTTTTTGAGAATTTTTTTCCTATTTTATAACCCCCATTTGCAAATTATAATGTTCTTCTGAAATGATGTATTAATGAAAAAAAACAACTACCATCTATCTTCACCCCATTTTTGTTTTCTTGATGAATATGATTATGAAGGTTTTGACTTTTGATTATAGTACGTAATGCACTTCGTACGGTTAAAACATTCATGGTCAAGCTATTTAAAAGGTCTAGTAAGCATTCTAGTAGAGGATGCCTTCATTATTCTAATATGTACATTTGTACTGCAAAGCAAGGTCTACATATATCCATACTGCAAATATATCTACCGAATCATGTGAGACAAAGTAAAATGTAGCTATAACAAATTTAAACTCAACTACAAGTCTAAATTTTTTTTTTGTCGACGCAAGTCTAAAATGTTTATAAATCCGATTATAGTACCTACAAACTCAGGAAGAATCATGTACGAATTTAGTGATCCATGTATAAATCCAGGCTATCTAGCTACACTAACTATAAATTCGGCTAGCGCATATATGTACAAATCATTAATATATGCCGAATTAATTACAACTTATATAGACTATAAATTTAACTAAATAGCATGTATAAAACTAATTAGCTATGTAAAACCCCCACTACAAAATATGCAAGCCTGAAGCCTAGATACACTTTATACTAATCCGGCTCGATATGTGTAAAACCCAACCACGACGAAGAATTCTAGATATGATATGTTTTTTTTTTTTTTTTGAAACTCAGATATGATATGTTTAAACGCAGTTAAATATACATAAACTTAGCTACACATTCATAATCCAAATGTATAATAAGTCTATATACGTACAGCTTGCGTAAACCTACGTACAACATTTATAAACTCAATCACAACAAGAATTACCTTTTTGCATTTTGCATGCATCTTACATCATTACATCCTTTTTTTGTTTAAGAGTGTACTTACATCACTACTACTACATGTACAACCAGATCACAACATATGTGAAGCCGATCACAACATAACACATCTTGTATATATGAGATATAAATCCTGCTTCAACATTAACATATATAAATGCGGCAAAGACATGTGTAAAAATAAGTAATTGCTTCATTCAAATCAAGTAACAACTAAACGAATTTTATTATTCGCAAGTACAAGTCAAGTATCAAGTTCATTTTAAATTTTAATTACTTGGTTTATTACTTGTTATCCTTTACTTGTTACTTGTCATTTTTTTTATATTACTTGTCATATGTTATTTGGTTTATTAAATACTTAATATATATTTAATTAATTAATTAAATTTATGTATTTTATGATTGGCCATAATTACTTGTTACTTGCTTCATGTTCACTACTTGTTTGGTACACGATCCTTAAAGTCAAATACTTGTTTTGACGAAGACATGTATCAAGTAGTCTATTTAAACTGATTTAAAATACAAACAAATACAAAATAATAAAACAAAATAATTATCCAGCTTTGTTTAGTTTATTATTCGTCTTAGTCAATACACAAAAAAACATTTTCCTAAATCATAGTAAAATAATTAGTTTATATTTCAATTTTTATAAGTAAATCAAACATAAGTGATATATATATATATATATATATATATAAACATTTTGGATTTTTTTATTTATTAATATAATTTATTTCACGAATGATTAAAAATAAAAAAACAATGACAAAATGAAAAAACGACATATTATTTATATATAATAAATTTATTTACCTTTAAATTTTAACTAATTATCAAATAAATTACTAATGGTTATCAAGTAATTTGTAAAAATTATACAAATAACAAGTAATAAAACAAGACAAGTAACTTACAAGTCTATTAATTTTTCGCAATTACTTGAAACTGCAAGTACTCATTTTTAACAAACCAAGTACAATTCCAAAATTTGAATACTCATACAAACCAAACCAAGCCGAGTACTAAGTATACCGAAAACACCAAGTATTCGGTTTGTGCCCACCCCTACTTGCAATGAGGCATCGGTCTAAATGATATCTTTGAATGGAATTCAGTTTATCTAAAGCTTAGTTCTGACTTCTAAGAATCTATCCTTAGATTAATGTATGAGATGGAAACAAACAAAGAGAGTAGTAGTATACAATATTGTTGTACTCCTTTTACCGGGTTCGCGTGCATTTTTAGAAATAAAAAAAAATGGATGACAAATAAAAAGTTGAGAAGTAGCAAAAAATCGCTGTAAAATATCCAAATGTAGATTCCAATCTCGCATGCACTTCAAAAGCATTTATTCAATAAGAAAGGAAAATTGCATCTTGGTTTTGCTAACGATCTCGTAATTATCTAATCAATACACACACATTTCCTAACGATCTCGTAATTATCTAATGAGCGTGACCAATGTTTTGCTTTTGTGGAATCTACTGTGGAAAGTAAACAAACAAACTTTGAGATACAAGTGACGGAAAAATAAAAAGATATCTTAAAAAGATAAAAGTTCAAAAAATGTGACGAATTCACTCTATAGACATGAAATTACACATATGTTTACAGTTAATTTTGGAAATGTGATAAAAATTCATCTACTTAACATATTACATTGAACAGATTTGATACAAAAAAAATAATATTAAAAATGGTTGGGTGGTTTAGTAACCTGGAAACATTGGTGGTGGTGGTGATGCGTATTGATGTCCAATGTTTGGTGGGAGAATGAAACTATCGTCGTCATCATCTTTCTTTGATGATGGTGAAGTTATAACTGGTGGTTTTATCTCTTGTGTTGATGGTGATGGTACTGGAGACGCATCTGGTTGAGAAATTGGAGTTGGAGCATCACTAGGCTCAGATGAGATTGGTGTCAAAGTAGGACTCGAGCCGAACACTGGTGATTGATCTGTTTCTGCTTCTGTTGGTTCCTCGACGGTCTCAGTTTCTGAGGTTGGAGCCTGAACTGGTGATGAGTCTCCTTCTGTTTCTGATAAAGGTGTTGGCTCATTTGCCGTTGGAGATGTTGTTGGTGATATACTTATTGTAGGTTTTGGCGGTGGTGAGAAAACTGGAGGAGGAGGAGAATAGATAGGTGATGGAGGCGGAGGAGAATGAACTGGAGGCGGTGGAGAGTGGACTGGTGGTGGTGGAGAGTGAACTGGAGGCGGTGGCGAGTGGACTGGTGGTGGTGGAGAGTGGACTGGTGGTGGTGGAGAGTGAACTGGAGGCGGTGGCGAGTGGACTGGTGGTGGTGGTGGAGAGAAAATCGGTGGTGGTGGCGGAGAGTGGACTGGTGGAGGAGGAGAGTGTACCGGTGGTGGCGGAGAATAAACCGGTGGTGGAGGAGGAGAGTGTACCGGTGGTGGCGGTGAGTGGACAGGTGGTGGTGGAGAATGGACAGGCGGTGGTGGAGAATGGACAGGCGGTGGAGGAGAGTGAACTGGTGGTGGAGGAGAGTATACTGGAGGTGGTGGTGGGGGAGAGTATACCGGAGGTGGTGGAGGAGAATGGATTGGAGGAGGAGGTGAAAATACATGAGGTGGTGGTGGAGAGTGTATTGGTGGAGAGTGTGATGATGGTATTTCTTCGGTTGACGGTGGTTGAGGACGTCGTTTTCTTATAGGAGATGCTTCGTAAGGATCATTTGATACTGGTGGTTTTACTGGCATTTGTGGTGTCTCCGTCTTTGGTGGTTGTTGCTTAGGTGATTCTTGTTTTGGTGACTCAGGTTTGGGTTTTATCTCTTCTGATTTTGGTGACTCATGTTTTGGTGTTTCCTGTTTAGGAGATTGCTGATCTGGCGTAGTTTCCTTTGGTTTAGAAGGATCCGATGTTTTCGGTTGTTGTGGTTCAGGAGATTCTTCTGGTTTTGGTGGGTTCTGTGTTGGCTTTGGTGACGGGTTAGATCCGCCACCACCTCCTCCTCCACCACCAGCACACTTGTCTTTATTACAATCCACAGGACGAGCAATCACTGGCAAACATTCATTACCAGACTTCTGTTTTGGTCTATTTTGTAAGCAATTGTTTGTGTCATCAAACTTCTTGTCTTGACTTGTCCCCGGTACACAACTCGGAGCCTCTCCGTTGAAGAAGTTGTAAGAAAATGTAAAGTTAGATAACTTTGGCAATTTGCATATACTATCTACCACAAATCCTGTGAGCTTATTGAATGAAAAATCCATTTGTTCCACATTGGCTAAGCTTGACAAGCTCGATGGCAAACTTCCAACAAAATCATTGCTGCTCGCATCAAACACCGTCACATTGTTCAGTGAACCGATCTCATTCGGGAAACAACCACTTAACTTGTTCCCTATAAATACAATCTCGTTTAGGTTCTTCATTTGCCCGATGGTTTTCGGGATACAACCGCTGAATTTATTATGAGCAAATGTCACGACAGAAGCAGTTGATTTCCCAATCGTCTCAGGTATAATCGATTCGAATCTATTGTTGTTCAAAAAAATAGCATCAAGATCCTTATCGAAAATCTCCTGTGGAAGTTTTCCTTCAAAGTCGTTGTATCTTACGTCAAGAAACTTCAAAGATGGCCAAGAAAGAGCAACCATCGGAAATGAACCAACAAAACGGTTATTGCTCACGTCAAATTCGTACATTAATGTTAGTTTTGATAAGCTTTTCGGAATCACTCCGCAAAATCTGTTGGAATTGACGTGAAACAAGGCAACATCGGTTAATAGACCTAGCTCGGGAGGCAAATACCCGGCTATATCTGCATGGTTTAGATCAATTCCTGCTACAACCATAATGCTTGGATCATCAAGCGCCGGTGCACAAAACACGCCTTTATAAGAACACACGTTTTGACCGATCCAGTTAGCTGATGTATTAAAAGGATCAGAGTATATTGCTTTTTTCCAAGCTTGAAGGGCAACATAAGCCCTTTTAAGTCGGTCATTAGCAAACTTGAGGTTTAAATCAACTTCATATTCCATGTCATCAGAAAGGTCTTCGTTTTCCGACAAAGCCAAAAGTTGACGTTTGGTGATAAATGAAGTTTCCTCATGAGTGAGACTGGCTGCCGAATGTATAATGATAAAGAAGAAGAGGAGAAGGAAGCAGCCATAAGGCTTTTCCATTGTTCTTCTAGTCATGGTGACGAAAAACCTTGGGAATGGCCTAATAGCTTTGCTTAAGAGATAAAGCCTTTAATGAATGATAGGCAAACATAAACCACCGATTTTCTTTTCTATTTTTAGTAAAAAAAGCAAAATATAGCAAACTATAGTAGCTAATATAGAATTCGTGGAGCAGGTAAATAAAACATTTCTGTGTTGTGAACACATTTGCAGTTGGCGTTAGCGTTTTGATTTCTTAAAAAATGCTAAAAATAAATAGTTGTTTTTCTTCTTAAAACTGATGGGCTATTTCTTTGTTAGCATGATGAAAACTGTTTCTATTTTTAAAATGAGGGTAAAGTAGAACAAAATAAAAATAATACATCATCAACATCCACATATACGAATTGCTGAAGAAGAAAAAGAGAGTTAAGAAAAATCTTTACAAGTATAGCACTAAAACAAAATTTCCAAGGATCAAATCAAGAAAATGATTCCATCTAGTACACTATCTGTTTTTATAACTCCTTTTAAATATGAACAAATAATATACGAAATGTTCAATTTGTCAACACCTTGTTATTTAGTTCTACTATATAACTGTTTTGTAAAGACAACATTCGTTCATCCCAACCTCCAAATAAAATGGAGCGCAAAACAAACAGCTAACTGATCCCAATTCTAGTTATATTGAACATGCGATACAAGTATACAACTCTCCTATATCTGCCATACCACGACCCCCGCAACACGGTCAGGTCCATTTTGTGCTGGTTCATGGGGCAGGTCAGGAGACTTAATGTTGGCATAAACACATTCTCACATACACCTTAAATCACATTACATTGTCATCTTGTAAGCATCAATATGGAGAAGAAAGGGAGGTTCTGGAAAAACTCGATAAAATGGACCAATATTATAATTTTAAGGCCAGAACCTAACTGCATTCAGATTGGCAACGTCCGTGATCGATCTACGTTGGGGTCGGGCTGAGACTCTCCGGTAGGTCTCCGAGTATATTGAGCCGTTTGTGAGCCTAATGAAGAGTCTATGCGAGGGTGAGAAGGTGATCTGGTGACACATACACAAAGTTTTGGTGGGCTTGCTATTTCCTAGGCCATGATAAGGTTTGTATGGCTATTTTTGTGACTGCCCTAATGCCTGGCCCGACCTTAATACACTATGCTTTTTCTTAAGAGGTACGGTACCTTACTAGTTACATGCTTTTCACTTCTAGAATAACATGAAGCGTTCCCAAAATAACAGTCCTCGTTAAACACTTGTGTTTATATTTTTCTTCGACAATTCTCAACCTTTTATAAGTTGGTTAGGTGGGAAGCTCCACAACTGGACTTAGAGATTATATTTGGAGATGAGCCTATTAAACCTCCTACACTTTCCATCGTGAGGCCCATTTTTTATTTCATTAACTATGTACTCCCTCCGTTTTAGTTTAATTTTCATTCTAGGTTTTTGCACACATATTAAGAAAACATTTAATTTTATATATTTTCAATATAAAAACACAATTGTCAATACACCTAACCACTTTTTAACCAATAGAAAAATAAATTATCATATAAACCTAATAAATTTTGTCTCGAAACTCTAAAATGACACTTATTTTGAAACAAAATTTTTCCTCTATAATGACATCTAATTCGAAACGGAGGGAGTATTTAGCAACTCCAACTAAATAAATTTCATAAAAGTTTCGAATTTTAAGTTGAACACTTTAATTACCAAGACATTATGAATCCTGAGAAGGTTAAAATCTAATAAATTTAAAATTAACTAATTTAAAAAATATCCGCTTAATATCCGGAAAACTAAATAAAACCATTTTTTTTCATTATGTAAACTGAAAGTTAACTTCACTCTATATTGGAAGAACTTGGACATGGTTACATTATCTGAGACTTTAACTCGTGTCAAGAATCCCACAATTCAAGTCCACTTCTAAGAGTTTGACATATACCTTTGCAGAAACCAATTAACTAAGTTCAAGTTCACACAAAAAAAAAGTTTAGAAATAAATTTATGTGCACAGGAAACATCATACTAACTTAATTGGTTCCAAATCTTACTATGTCCCCTCCCCAAATCAATTGTCCGCCTCCCCCCATTCACAGAAACCAATTAACTAAGTTCACACACCTCACTAGTTTCAGCATTGTTTCTCATTGGACAGTGGTTGTATTCAGGGGCGGACCCAGGGCTTATGGGGGTGTGGCATGAGCCCCACCCTAAATTATTTTTTCCCATGCGAATTAGTACTCAAGTTATCTACACATCCACTTAAATTCAATATTAGTTACCAGAACTTAGTTATGTGCCACATACCCAATACAATCCTGCGTCCGCCCCTGGTTGTATTTCTTTATGTGTAAGACCATGGGAGAATCTACATTCCATAAAGGGCAGCTGCCCCCAAAAAAATCTAGAAATAAATTTATGTGCACAGGAAACATCATACTTTCAACAGCTTAATTGGTTCCAAATCTTACTATGTCCCCTCCCCAAATCAATTGTCCGCCTCCCTGCATTTACTCAATTTTCTACAGTTCATATACATTTATTTTTCTTTTCTTATTTTTTCTACAGATATTGTCTATTTTCCTCAGGTACCTTTATTCTCTTCTCCTTAGAGCATCTCCAATTTTTTTTTTCTATTTTAGAGTTTGTAAAACTCTATATTTGAAGTTTAAAAGTGTTATGTTCCAAAAACAAAATTTCAAAATTAACTTCAAAACTATTTGTATTTTATACTTTTGTCCTTATATTTATCATAACTAATTCAAATTCATAGAACTTTTATAAATAACTAGCACATATATAAAAATATTACAGAAATATTAATTGATAAAATATTACACTAAAATATAAAATTATAAATAAAAATATATAATCAAATACAAACTACCAACAAAATACCACATTAAATCTTGTAATATTGTTGTTGTATACCACATTAAATCTTGTAATATTTTTGTTGTCTAGTTCTAATTTTAAAATATTTTAAAGCTTATCTTGATGTTTTTTTTTTAAAAAAATTTATGTGTAAAGTTACATTTGTAAAACATTTTTGAAATATTTACGAAATAAGAATTTATAAGGATTAAAACGATAAACAACAAAATGTTTAAGAATTATAAATATAATGTAATTGTAAAGATCACAATGCAAATAAAAATATGAAACTTCAAATTTGAAGTTTTAGAATTCTTTTTTGGAGAGTGGAAAACTTCATATTTGAAGTTATATAGTGTCTTTTTGGAGATGCTCTTAATTTTTATTCCTTTTTTCATTCAAAACCAATTTCATATTTAATATTTTGTTTCTTTTTTAACAAAGAGATAGTTGGCTTCATTTTATTTTCTTCTTTATGTTATATAAAATCCTTTACTTAAAACAATTTTATTAGTTTCTTTATATAGCATTATCAAATGGAAAGTTATATATAACATAACAATTTATATTTATTAAGTAAATATTATTTATTTTTATTTCGCTCCATTTAAAATATTTTCTAGATCTGGCACTGTATAAGACTGTACTTATTTTTTTCACTCTACCTTACAATGGGTGTAGATTTTTTTAAAAATTACCAATAACAGAAAACAATACTGGAAGGCTCCTACCACTTTGAAGAAGTTGGCTCCTCAAGCTATCATCTACCACCTCTGGAAACAGAGGAATAACATTGTTCACAACTCTGCCACATTATCACCTATTAGTCTCTCCAGGCTAATAGACAAGGTAGTCCGGAATGTCATCACAACAAAGCTCCATAAAAAGAGTTTCAAGAACCTAAGAACATTTCCAATGGGAAGTTCTTACGGCAGGATTTTTAGCAGAATATAAAAATCCGTTTTTAATCTTTTTAATTAAAAGTTAATAGATGAGTTCTTATATTCCGTTAAGAACTCCGCCGTAAAAACCTCTTATTGGAGATTGTCTAATGCCTTTGTGGTTGAGCTGATTATTTCATCTGCTCATTCTTACTTTTGCTTCACCTTGTTTTTCACTTCTTTTTGCCAAGATTTTTCAATTTTTAGATTTGCCTTTGTAAATCAAACCTTTCATTCTATGATATTTACTATTTAGCAAAAAAAAAAAGGCTTACTAAACGTCATAAGTTATCGAATATATCTGTAATTGCAAAAATGTTTCAAAAAAAAAAAAAAAAAAAAAAAAAATCTGTAATTGCAATTTTCCAAAGTTGTCGACTAGTAGCTTCAGATCTCTTTGGAAGTTAAAGCGAGTAATACTCAATTTTTTTAAAAAATAAACTTCGACGATTTTATTCATCGGTAACTCTTCATGATTCTTATGGTTACACATATACACAAATCAACAACTTCAAAAACGGCACATGGCACGGGAACTCCTAATCGTAAAGGCCAAAACCAAAAAAAAAAAGAGAACCAAAAAAAAAAAAAAAGCTAATCACATGAATCCAACAAGAGGAATAGGAACGCCCGAGTAACTATTCCGGCGACTATCATGAGCTGCCGGAAGCGCCGGCAAAGGCTTACGGAAAGCCTTTTCTACTGATTCGGCCACGGTGGCTACAAAAACAACGGCAAACTTCACTAATTCGATGCAAATCTCCAGCTTTTGAGACACCATGTTGTGTTCTTGTTTCTTTGGTGTGTGTTTTGCGCCTTTGAGGTATATGTTTCTTCTCTCTATATTTTCCGCGTCTTGAGATCTCTTGTCTTTGTGATGTCTTACTTGCAAAAGGTGAGCTATATTTATACACGTTCACGTCGAGCCATACAATTATTCGTATGGATTATGATAAATTTAATAATTGGTTGATTGATATACCACGTGGCTGTTTGGTTCGCTACCAATTTTTCTTGGAAGATTTTTAGTGTACTTTGGTTTACACGAAGGGCCGTTATTCTTTGGGGCCATTTCTTTACTTACATATGCGTAAGTATGTGTCTAACGTTACTATTATTAACACATAGGGGGCGTATATATACATATATTTGTATACCGACAAGAAAACATATATAAGTATATTTGTATTTACTTGTTCTATCTAGATACGAGCATGCAGAAGAAAGGTTCTACGTGCGCATTTTTGAATATTCATTTATTTTATAATTAATTATAAGAAATATTAATCTGCCGATTGTATAACCAGTATTTGTAATTTCTGTATGAAAATTACAGTTTTACTTGTAACATACTGATCCATTTTATGAAAATGCACGTAGAATTAAAATACATAATAACTAATATTAGATATTATTTATCAACAATGATTAGCTAAACTAATTACTTAAATCTAAAATTAGAGAATTTATAAGAAGTATAAAAATGGTCGTTGTGTAGTTAAAGGTTCAATAAACATATCGTTTTACCTTTACAAAATAAACATATCGTTTAAATATAGCGTGTCCATGCATAATCCACGTGAAAATGTATGCTGGTTATGATAATTTTTTTAGTAAATAACTTATACACGGTATGTCTATATTTATATAATAACATACGCGTTTCGTTGATATGGATCAGGATGGAAATTATGCACCAATAGGACACGAGGACATCAAGACGATTTGATGTTGATTTTGGTTGAATTTTTAATTAATATTCTGATTAACTTGCGTGGATATAATATTTACGAAACTTCATATGTTCCTCTTTGTTGTGCAAGGCTGACTAAGATTTTGATTAATATATACTTACATACACATCAAATGATGTAAATAGATACTTTATTATGAGGAACCGATTGGTTCTCAATATAAAAGATCAAAAAGTGTTGATCATAAAGTGCATTAGATAATGATTATTATTCATTTCTTTATTTCGAATGATTGATAGTTGTTTACTACGTACAGTGAAATCAGTATGTCATTAGTTTTGCATATTTGCAAATAACAACATAGCATGATGCTAAAACAATATAATCGTCCTAATTCATATTCAAATATAGTCTGAAACTAAATTTACTCAAACTGAAGAAATTATAATAAATTCAAAGTAGAATTAGAAACTATATGATCAGAAGACGACGGCCTGCAGCAAAATCTTGATGCAAGTCTTGGTCAGAAGCCAGATGGGATGCATATACTTCTGAAACATTTTTTTCTAAACAACGATTAATTATGTATGGTGGGAGAAGAATTATAGGTGACATAAAACCAGTTATCAATCGACTAATCAAAGCAAGACCAAGAGAATTAGGGGGTTTGAAGAACAAATCAAAGATCAGGGTGATTTAAGTAATTGAACTTACCCATAAGATGCGTAAGGAAGAAAATGTTTTGAGTAAAGATTGCTGCGACTTGCAAGGAGCATCTAAACTATTGTTTTCTTAATTTTTAAGCTTCAAGCCCTAATTAAACAAATCACCAAAATTAGCAAACCATATGTTGTAATTAAGAGCCCATGAGACACATGCCACGTGCTTTTAGTCGTAGTTATTGAATTCCCTCTACTTTATATCGTTCAAGATCAGACTTAATGTAAAAACAATAGATGGTATAGAGAGAATCACATTTCAAGATTTTAGTTCCTACAACATGACGACATCATCAAGAAAAGCACCTTAAATAAAAGTTTTATCATTTGACCAAAAAAAAAAAAGTTTATCAAATCATTTAAAAGTTTTAAATTTATTTTTTCGTAGTGGATTTGATCGTCAAATTATATCTATGTTTAATTAAATCATATTAAGAAGGAATTGAAATATTATTTCAAAACGTTGTATATAATTTATCATTAAGTTTTATTTTTATAGTTTTGAACTATAAACTTATGAGCATCAAATTTAAAAAGAAAAGAAAATAGCTAATGTACTTTTTAATCAACTTTAAATAGACGAAAACCTTTGTAGTCCAATTAGTGCTATATTTAGACGACTCTCTAGTCAGTTCCTGAGCTCAATTTCACCTACATAATATTTGGCGACAGAAATATTTGCTAATTTGCTGTTACTATTTTCACTTACACTGCCTTTTCTAGTTTCTTCCATAACCTCACTACTCATATTACAAATTTATTTGAAATGACATGGAAAATTAACACCATCCCATGTAATCTTCTATTCTAAATCAGTCAATGAGATTTACTATACCTTTCTCTGCTTCTGTTAACTCATCTCTATACCTATCCAACAAGCCATCACATTTCACCAGCAACTCATCTGCCAAGGGCGGTATCATCGGGTTACGCCCGTCGTTGTAAAGATGAGCATTGTACCTGATCTGCCACACATCATGTCTAAACTGCTTTCGGTCTCTGTACTCCATCCTCCGTACCTTGTCCCTGATTGTCGAGAGATCCATGGGCCGTTCCACAACGTCAAGATAGTCCGGAGCCTCCTTCTTTGAAACAGGTTTCAAGAAGAGGTACGACACGTTTACTTCTTTGGCTTTTAGTGTGTCCACTATGACTTCCAAGATGTTTGCTAGGCCAACCTGTTGGTAAATAAATAGAGAAGAGAAACACCAAGATGAGTTTATCATAGTGATCAAAGTGAAATATGGAAGTAAAGAGAATCATACCTCTCCCTTTTTGCGTCGTTTTGGTTGAGGTGCGTACTCTTCCACGTTCCTTTCAAAGTCAGAGACATACTGGCTTCTCAACCTTGCTTCCCTGTGCCTTTCCGTACGTATCTCCCGTTCCTCTTGCCATACTCTATCCTCTTTTAGTCCCCGGTCTAGTGAGTTCTCTGAAAATATAAATCTCTGCTTCCTCTTAAAACCTTCTGGTTCTGCTATTCTCATTGTCTTCCTGGACTCAAACTGTGAACTCATTTCACGACTAGTCCGGTCATGATCAGTTAGCACTTTCGAACGTTTTATAACAAGTTTCTTCTGAGGCTGTTCTCTTTCATTCGGCGGCAAAAACACGACTTTTTTATCCACGCGAAATGATGGCTGCGTAATTGAAATAGCAAGTCTGCTTGATGCAGCCTGATTTCTCTCTGTACTAGACAATAATTGTCCAGACACAGAAGGCTTGTGAGACTTGCTCTCCCCTCTCTCAGGTTCTTCCATAGTACGTCTTGGGGTTTCAGAACCGGGTTTATCTAACATCTCTCCAGCACATTTAAACCTCAGAGTAAGACCACCTCCGGTTTTGGAAGTTGAATTATCTCCCTTCGGGGCTTCATCTACAGAAACCTTTGTCGGACTTTTTGGCGCAGTCTTCTTGTTTTTGATAGGTTCCAGCTTGACCTGCCCTGATAGACCTGAACAGCTCGGTGTCCCAGCAGACTTCTTCACATATATACCTTCGGGAAGTGATTCTGTAGTTGCTCTGTATTTTGGGCAGTGTTTATTGGTTTTCATGTGTCCAGGCTGGTTATGAACATAATAGTCAAGCGTTGCGTTTTTCTTTGATTCAATGTTAGATTGATAATCTAGTCTAACAAGTAATTATACCTGACCACAGGCTCCACAGAAGAAGTTCTCTCTCACTGGTTTTCTGTCTTTGAATACCTGCTTTAGACAGATAGAACAGAGATCAGCTTCAGAATTATCATATTATGTATAAGTTGATACAGCAAGCAAAAAAAAACACAAAAGAGTGAAAGGGTTTGAAAAATTCGAAACTTACACTGACGTTTGTTGTGTCTTTGAAGGTGCTCCTAGACACTAAGAAAGAGGCATCTGGCCGGGTGGCAATATGCTTCTTGGCACTGACACTGTCCTTTCTGACAAATTGAGCATTCATGTTCTTCTTTTCCTCATCTAGATAAGCACCACCGGTCAGTTATTTATTAAGGAAACAATCTTAAGCTGAGTAGCGGGAATGCTTTAGTTGAAAGCACGTACCTTTCATCAGCAATCGGCGTAACTCGGCATATTCAGCAGCTTCATCTTCAACCTCTTCGTCTGTCATAACTTGATTGGGTCGCCGTCTCATCTTGAGCCCCTTGACTCCATCCAACTTGTCATTTTTAGACGTATTAGATTCTTCCCACTCCTCAGCATCAAGTAGATTTTCCAGATCTCCAACAAAGGAGTCCATGTCATTTTCACTCTCAGACTCATCGTCATCACATGATGAAAGGGACAGAAGTTGCCTATCCCAAATCTCCTGGCACTTTTCCCGGGCCTGCTGTTGTAACTGTAGGAAAGACATTCTCTGGCCACGGGCATACTTACCTATTGTATTAGAGTCAACCTTAAGTACACCAGATGCAGCCTGCTCACTCGATAGCTTGCGTATCATAGCTATCAGGTGCCATCGATTTTGCTTGGCCATTACCTCATCAGGAACATTGAACTTGAGAAGAATCTACAAGAGATCCAGCACAAAAATTTAGATGAGCATTACGTTTTATACAGGTCTAGAAGAAACGGGCATCTTTAAAAATAGACGAGGATACGTCCTTTTAGGGTTGTAGACATTTAAAATAAAGAAGCGAACCTCTCGAGCTGCTTCCCTGCTTAATCTGCGAAGATCAGCATCTGTACCAGTTACAGTTGGGGCTCCGCTCGCTGCTTCCTTTTTCTTCGTACGTCCAGCTGCAGCTGGTACTTTTGGCGCAGCTCGGACGTAGCTGAATCCTAGACCCCGTCCAGAGGGATCGCCAACTCCAGTAATTTCCAAACGCTCTATGTTTGCTCTGTCCTACTCAAACCACAAGTTGAAAATCCGGTAAATGAGAATCTAACCGGCTAAGTAACTAAAGAATGCAAATCTAGTTCCAGAGACAGGTATCAGAAACACTCTTAACAAAACTAGAGATTATAGAGCTGAAATATATCGTAGTCCTTATGCAAAGTATTATTAATGTATCGCTGGAACAATTAGAATGGATTAGGGATACAATATAAAGATAAGAACTCACTCCATAAAAACTTCCCAATACAGATAAGTGATACTCACCTGAGCTGTACAAGCGACAAAGTTACTGCTCAGATTCCATGGAGTAATCTGCAACTCCCTCTCAACATGTGAAGCAGCGGCAAGGGCAACGGCTTCATCTGGAAGCTGCGCCAATGCAGCTGATATGCTGGTAGGCAATGTAAACTGTGTGATCCCTACATGTTTGAGACGGTACAGCCCAGCTAGCATACTCTCATAGGAACACACCTAGGCCAACGAAACATAGAATGCATCTTTTAATATATATTTCCAGAAATAGCTCTCAACGCTCACTAACATGATTTTTTTTTTTCGTAAAACGAACACAAGCGAGACTTACATCCTCTGGCGCCACAAGATTTTTCAACTCATTCTCATGTGGAGTCTTGTCAAACCTATGTTTCTTGGACCAGAAAATTTGGCCATTTTTGTCCCTCTGCATTTTTTTAGTCCAGGTAAGAGGTTAGCGTGATAATATAACAGAAGCTTGGATGATGACGCCAAAAGAATAAAAAGAGAGAAATAGAGGGCATGCAACTTTAGATGCCGCTTATGCGCAAGTGAGAATCTGACAGTTACCTCTAGAAAAATACCATGAAGTCTCATGTTCTTCTTGACAACTGCCTCCGATAAGTTAGAAAATAAGATTGACAGCTCATCTGCAGGAATACGGTGGCGATGCTTAAATTCTCGGTCCACATAGACCAACATCCTGTTCGCCAAATATATCTGTAGAGTCTTCGATGCAGGAGACATTACTTCCATTCGAGGTTCCTAACAAGATACAATCTCAGTACGCCGACTTTATGACAGTTAAAACGTGAAACCAAAATTAAAGAGAGAAATCTTGCAAAAGGAAAACCTGTTGTCCAACAGCAAATATCTTGTCAATACGCCTTAGAGAGAGCTTTCCTCTAGAAGACCGGACCAAAAGATAGTCCGTTGATTGCAACTTATGAGGAAAAACAGGTGCTTTGTACATGTTTGTTTCAATTGATGACTGACTGCAGCCACCCTGTATTTCCCCAAGGAAAGGAGATTTCTCCCCAGGTTCTAGAATCATCACATTCTCTACGGTATCATTTTTCTTAAGCAGCAAGTTCCCCTGTTGATCCTTTGGGCATGACTTCTGATAATACGTGCACAAATTTGCACCCATTCCTGCATTGCTGAGCATCAATGGCCTCTCTTCACAATACCTAACACAGATTGATGAAAAGTAATGGTGACTAAATAAACATAGAAAACATAAAACCACAAGATCCACAAAGTAGCATGCAGGTTAAAAAAATAACAAAATTTCCCAGTTTGACGGGTAAGTCTTGTGTAAGAATATGTCTTACTCCATTAAGAAAACATGGCCATCTTTAGTAGATAGGTCTGATTTCTTCTTGAATGCTCCAGGTGGTCTCAAAGATTTATGTTCGCCAGGAAGCTTTTGTGCCCATGGCAGCAGATGTACCTTGGTGCGTATAATATGGACCAAAGAATTTGGATGAACATTTTGTTCAGCAAGAGACTTTTCATCCTCAAGTTCCTTTCCCATACAAAACATCTTTACTGCTTCAGTTTCCTTAAAATCTGCAAAACAATTTTCAGTGAAATCAATAGTTCTTCAAGTTCTCCAAATAGAATCCGTATTTAGACAGACAGTGAAAGGAAAAATAACCAACCTAGCTTCCTAGAAGCCTTGTTCTTCAAAGAAGAGACAGATTCCTCTGTTCCAACGTGTAGCTTAAATCCTTTACCCCCCAGACTCTTAACTACAATTCTCATGGATCCTTGAGTTGGTAACTTTTCTTGTTGCTTGATGGCTAGCTCATTGTCATGTGGACACCATAAAGCTTTGGGCCGGTGAAAATTTGCGATGTCTTTACTGTAACGAGTTAACACAAAACATTATAACAGAAACCACCAAAACATTTGAGCAGAAACCACTTAAAGATGGATGTCAAAAAAACGATTTAAAGTGTGCAGATAGAAAACAATGTAAATACGAGTGACCCACTTACTTGCTCAATTTGTTCTTCATTGTCTGCAATTTAATCGCTGGTGCTGAATGAAGAACTCTCAAGCTGTGTACGCCGAATTGATTAGCATTTGCTTGGAGTTGCTGACAGCTTTTCCCATTCATATAGAATTTGTCATTAGAAATATTGAACTGGCACCCATAATTTGATCCACAGCCTTCTTGAAAGCTTTCATCCTTGGGCTTTGAAGACCGGGATAGAATCACAGATCCAGCATGAAGTTGGAGATCTTTGCTTTCCTGGTTTTCCGGGATTTCAAAGACCATTCGCTCATCTTGAAGGTCAAATATTAGTTTAGACCTGCTCAACTCTTTATCTGACTCCCATATTATGCTATCTAGCCATGCTTCATCCCCAATATCCCTATCTTGCAAAGCAAGTCTGCTAAAGCGTCCAAGAGCGTCACTTTTAAGCTGCTTTAAATTCTTCCCTCCAGCGCCGTCATTTTTACTAAGATGATCATCCCACTGAGATTCTAACCTAAGAAGTTGCGGATGACGTCTACTTTTGTTAGTGGACTTAATAGTATTGTGGGAATCTCTCGAGCCAAGAAACTCCAAGGGACTGACACAAAAAGACACATGCTTATTATTTTCGGCTTGAGCCTGCTCTCTAGAATTCACCACGTTTAAGCTTTCTTGTTCAATCTCTGAACTTGTTCCTTGAATCAGCAGGCTTTCTGACTCAATTCCAGATTCAACGCTTTCAAAAGAACTACCACTAACTTCAGAAGAGTTTTCCCAAATAATTCGATTCTCCCACTCATGCTGGTCAAGAGGAAAAACTTCCGTTGATAATTGAGACTGGCACAAAGATGATTTATCGTCGTCTAAGTCTTCCTTCAACAGTTCACCCATGGTGCATGAATCCCGTCCTAGCTTTGTAGATCCTCTCGATTCTGGTATGATGCTTCCGAATGTGTCAGCATTTACCAGCTGTAAATCCCCTCTGATTGGTAACGGAACATCCAGCTGAATCAGTTCAGCTTGTTTCACATGAGGGTCGATCCTACCATGGCTCTTAAGAAGTAACCGCTCATCATCTTCAACAAGCTTCATGGATTTGTATCTATCTGTACAAAAGAAGGCTATGATGTAAGAGTACCCACATGAAGAGATGAATTATATAAAGCAGGAATGCAGAGACAAAAAGAGAGAAAATGAAGAAAAAAATAAGCTGCCTTGAAAAAAGGAGGACGTAACACATCATTTTAGAGGCCCCAAAAATACACATATCTAGTATATTCTTGCTATGAAGAGACTGAACAACATAAGTTCGCATGCTTTCAAAACCTAATGGCCTTTGAAATTTAACATGGACTGAAAATCTACAGAAACTTTATTGTTTTTCAGATATTAAGTAATCTATGGACAGAACAAAAGAACTCAATAGGGTTTGAGAAGAAACAAGCATAAGAAGACCGTTCCACAGATCACTTACCTCTATAAGTGACATATCTCTTTTCTCTCTTGGCCCGTTTCTGTGGTGGCTTCTGAATAGCAAATATCTCAGAGAATTGTAAGACAACCATACCATCTTCCACATACAGAGTAGGCAGTGACGTTGCGCTTTTCTCATTTGTGTCCATCCGTTCCTCATTTCCCAAGATGGCAGCCGCCTCTTCATTATCCAAAGCCTTGTCCTCCTTTAAGTCAACTACAGAGAAATATTTTCTGTGTCTCACAATCAGTAGGTCCCGAGACATCGAAGAAATTAAACGACACACCAAAAGTACATAATATAATCTGTAATATTTTTGTTCACGAACGGCGATTTCAATAGCAAACCTGATTCACTCTCTTCAGAATCAAAAGCTTCTTCAAATGGCATGTGCTCCTCCTTTTGTTCTTCTTCCTCATCATAATCATCATCATCAAACACAGAAGCTTTGGAATATAAACTACCCGAGGCAGCTGCAGACGCAAAATATTCTCTTCTTGGCAGTAGATGATCTTCCTCAGTAACTACTTCAACCTCAGGCCCGACATACTCTTCATCAATATCCCCATAATCAACAGCGTCCGCAGCTTTTTCGTTGTAATCTACATGATGTACAACCACAGTTAGTCAAAGTGATAACCCGGCATTGGTAACGTAGAAGGCAGGGCTTGTTGGAGATTTACAAATCTCACACCTAACCTTGTTAAAATTTGATGTATACAACTTAGCCAAGACACTTTGCATCACATTATTCAGTAATAAATACACTATGACCAATGCCATACTAAGAAAATGCAAGACCAGGAAGATGGGAACGTTTCATGTGTAGCAGGGTAAAATGCAAACTAAAAGTTGAAAACTGGAGGTAACTAACAGAAAGAAGAAGAAAAAAACTGCAAGAGACAAGCGGAAAACATCACCTTGATCAGCTAGATCACTTGTTGCACAGTCTAAACTTGCCATCAGCTGTTGATTTTTAGAAACACCATTTATTGGTTCAAGAAAAAGATGATTAAAACCACTCACACTTCACTCTGCTCTTAACTTAAGAAAAGAAGTATACAAAATAGTTAGAATGTCACCATTATGTCTGGCAGAGACGAAGCCAATGCAGAAAGATGTTCTTTAGCCTCCTGTTGAATTGAAAATCATCATCAACACAAAGTATACACACAACCGTAACCAATAAATACTGAAAAGAGTAAAAGCGATTAACACCTCATTAAGGTAATCAGCATCCAAGCCACCAGAGTTATCAACGTTCCCAAAGATAAACTCAAGTCCCCTCCTTCTTTCCCCACACTCTTCATCCTCCTCTGCAAACCAAAAGTTGTTACAACAAACAATATCTTGGCTGGTGAATGCACGTTACAGTTTACATAATTCGTAAATTCTATCTAATAACATGTCCAAGATCACTCACAAGCTGATACGCTTTCTACTTGCTTAGTTTTAAAGAAACAGTCACGAGCTGAACTAAACTGCAACAATATACTACCTGAAGAAATCTCCTTGTGTTCAGCCATGTCGAATCCAAGAGAGTGCTCTGGAAAATTCGATTCCTAGAATCGAATAACGATTTTCTTCAAAATTGTGTTTAGAAAACAAACAAATCAAAAAGCCTATAGATGATCAACCTTGGAACCCTAATTGAGAGTATAGAAACCCGGAGAGTAAAGCGAATTGAGCGATCGGAAAAGACGGCGCACGGTGGAAGCAACGCTCGAATCGGAGGAGGAATCGCCAAGGGATCAAATTAGCGGGCTCGAGAGATCATATGAGGTGTTTATTTATAAAGGTTTATAACCCGACCCGATAAAATTTAGTATTTCCGGGTCCGATTCTCAACCGGAATTAATGTTATTAAACCGATCCAGATCCAGATCAAACCAAACCATTTGCTATTCTCTCACTGAAATTGTCCTTACTTGCAGGCGCTACCGTTGTTGAATACTTTATACAATTAAACCTCTATAAATTAGTAGGGACTTTAAAATTTTATTAATTTATAAGATATTAATTTACCAAAAAAATTTTATTTAGATTTTTTTATTTTAAGATATTTTATTCTAAAATAAGAAAAATATTTTATTTTAGTGTATAGATATTTATTTCATTTTTTGAAATTTGACATTTATATTTACTTTCTTATATTATTTGGTGTATATATTATTTATTGCATAGAATTTAAATATGATTTTAGATATAATATTACTAAATCTTATCTATACTATTATTTGCGAAGTGATTTTTTACAACGGAGCTCCCACGTTAAAGGTTATAGTGGTTAATATCGTTTATAATAAAATATATAAATCAGCCAAAATTAAAAACGAATTTCTATACTATTATTTGCGAAGTGATTTTTCGCAACGGAGCTCCCACGTTAAAGGTTAGAGTGGTTAATATCGTTTATACCCTTAATGAATAAAATATATAAATCAGCCAAAATTAAAACGAATTTCTATACTATTATTTGCGAAGTGATTTTTCGCAACGGAGCTCTCAAGTTAAAAGTTAGACTGGTTAATATCGTTTATACCCTTAATGAATAAAATATATAAATCAGCCAAAATTAAAAACAAATTTACTATTTATTTGACTAGATAAGTGGTTTAAATTAATAATAATGATAAGAATTATCCATAATCTAAATATAGATAATTCCTATATATATTGCGTTGTTATCCGGAAAATATATTTTGATAAAAATATACTATTATTTGCGAAGTGATTTTTCGCAACGGAGCTCCCACGTTAAAAGTAAGAGTGGTTAATATCATTTATACCCTTAATGAATAAAATATATAAATCAGCCAAAATTAAAAACGAATTTCTATACTATTATTTGCAAAGTGATTTTTCCCAACGGAGCTCTCACGTTAAAAGTTAGACTGGTTAATATCGTTTATACCCTTAATGAATAAGATATATAAATCAGCCAAAATTAAAAACAAATTTACTATTTATTTGACTAGATAAGTGGTTTAAATTAATAATAATGATAAGAATTATCCATAATCTAAATATAGATAATTCCTATATATATTGCGTTGTTATCCGGAAAATATATTTTGATAAAAAAATTCAAAAACATAAAACACATAAATATATATTCATAAAGTAATTTTAATTGTATATAATTGAAAAGATATATTGAAAATGATTTTTCGCAACAGAGCTCTCACGTTAAAAGTTGGAGTGGTTAATATCGTTTATACCTTTAATGAATAAAATATATAAAGATAAGTGGTTTAAATTAATAATAATAATAAGAATTATCCATAATCTCAATATTTATACCCTTAATGAATAAAATATATAAAGATAAGTGGTTTAAATTAATAATAATGATAAGAATTATCCATAATCTAAATATAGATAATTCATATATATATTGCGTTGTTATCCGGAAAATATATTTTGATAAAAAAAATTAAAAAACAGAAAACACATGAATAAATATTCATAAAGTAATTTTAATTGTATATAATTGAAAAGAATATTGAAAATGATTTTTCGCAACGGAGCTCTCACGTTAAAAGTTGGAGTGGTTAATATCGTTTATACCCTTAATGAATAAAATATATAAATCAGCCAACAAATAAAAAATACGTGTTTGAAAAAAATAAATCCAAATATATTGTATTATTATCCAATTATGTAAACTAATATTATTCTTTTTGTAAGATCAAAGTTTTGAATGTATATTTATCGATTCAATTTTTTAAATTGAAAGATATATTTTTATATTTTTTATAAATTAAGGAAAATGAAATAGAATTTAGATTTTTAAATTGACTTAAAGATAATTAAGCCCGTATGTGCGGATAAAACACCTAGTCAACAATATATTAAGTGTCAAGAAAATATAAAAATAATTTCATTGTAAATATAAAACAAACAATATGATAATAGATTCTTACTTATATAAAATATGTATAAATATAAATTATTAATTTATAGTTTTAATGGGACCATATCTTTACATATAACTTTCTAAAAAATATTATTTTATTTGATTTGTGTCAAATTTTGAACTGATCCAAATTTATTGATTTAGAGAGATCATTAATTTATTGAGTATTAATTTATAGAGGTACTGTACCTATATTTTCTTTCCAATAGTGATTTACCAAACGATTCTTAATTAAAATCTAAATCAAGTATATTCTCATTTAGATAAGCATTCAATTTAATATCTCTGATAATTCTCATATTGTAGACTTGTAGTTAGATAATTCCGTAGCAATATTTTGTTACGTAATATCCATAAAGACAATCCTCATAATCCGTAAAAGTTCAAAGGCCAAAACTCGATTTAAAGTTCCATAGTTTTAACTTTTAAGCTCGACGTGATGAAGCTCAAGTTTTGGTCGTTTTATATCGTTTGTGTACATTCGTAGGTTTCAGTTCCTTTTGTAATCTTTGAACAATTTATCAGCTGTTAGTAAAGCTGGAGCTTATCGAAGGAGAAGCTCAAAATAGAAATATCTTTATGTTATTCATTTAATGATCTAACGTATTACATTATATAGTAGTGATATCCGGTTTATACATATACCGAGATTCAATCTAATAGTAAACCAAAATAAAACAAACTCTATTCAACACTCAATATCTAATATTCCCCCTCAAGATGACGAATAAATGGAATGCATAGACATCTTGCCAATGAGTGTGTTGAATTGAGCAGGAAAGAGAGGTTTGGTGAATACATCAGCGAGCTGACTAGCAGTACCCACGTGAAGCGTTTTGATCAAACCACTGCATATACGATCACGGACTTGATGACAATCCAGTTCCACATGTTTAGTTCTCTCATGGAAAACTGGATTGTTTGCAATATGAATAGCATCCGTCGAATCACAAAAGAAAGCTATAGGTTTGTCTTGTGGTGCCTGCAGTTCCCGGCAAAGATTAGTGATCCAAATGACCTCTTTAACCGCAACAGACATTGCTCAATATTCGGACTCTGCAGAAGAATGAGAGACCACATCCTGCTTTTTCGAGTTCCAAGCAATGAGAGAGGGACCAAGAAACATACAAAAGCCAGAGGTTGACCTTCGTGTATCAAGGCAAGATCCCCAATCAGCATCAGTGTAAGTCTTCAGTGTCAAGTCAGAAACAGCAGAGTAGAACAACCCATGACCAACCGTACCTTTGAGATAATGTAAGACGCGGTAAACAGCCTTGAGTTGAGCATTCTGCGGAGACGAAGTAAATTGACACAATTTGTTCACAGCAAAGGTAATGTCCGGACGTGTAATAGTGAGATACATTAACCGTCCAACCATTCTGCGATACAGAGTAGGATCATCTAGAATAGGTTGATCCTTATCATAGAAAAGCTTAGCATTGGGATCCATTGGAACAGAAACAGGTTTGCAAGCCATCAGACCAGTTTCCTCCAACAGTTCAAGAACATATTTGCGTTGGCAAATAGAAATCCCTTTGCTAGAACGAGCTATCTCAAGTCCTAGAAAAAATTTCAAAGGACCAAGATCACGGAGCTTGAACACCTCCTGTAGATTCTTCTTCAACTGATCTACCTCGGCATCATCATTACTCGCAATAACAATGTCGTCTACGTAGACCAAAACAGCCACATACTTCCCATTAATGTTCTTGATGAACAATGTATGATCGGTATGTGATTTAGCAAACCCAAGAGAAAGGAGAGTGGAGCTGAATTTGAGAAACCACTGCCTAGAGGCTTGTTTAAGGCCATATAAGGATTTCTTCAGCTTACAAACAGCATTTGATGGCAGTGATTCCCCCTGTTTTGGTGTGTATCCCGGAGGCAACTTCATATAGATCTCTTCATGTAAGTCACCATTGAGAAACGCATTTGATATGTCAAGCTGAGTAAGACTCCAGTTCTTTGCAGCAGAGACAGCTAGAAGAGTTTTCACCGTGGTCATCTTAGAAACAGGGGAAAAAGTATCAATGAAATCGATTCCCTCTTGTTGAGTGTAACCCTTGGCCACTAACCTCGCTTTATAACGTTCCAACGTGCCATCTGCATTCAGCTTGACCTTATAAACCCATTTGCACCCAATAGAATGTTTTCCTGGAGGTAGTAGGGAGAGTGAATGTTGTCGTACGATTCCGTTGGAGCGATCGGAGAACTCGGCGACGAATCATCGCGATTGACAGATCTTCGCGCCGATGACGCTGCTCGAACAGGACGACGACCCACACGCTTCGCGATCACCATGACGGAGATTAGAACGGAAAACGTGAACATAATCGGGTGAGGGATTAGCATCACCGCTTTGATACCATGTTAGTAAAGCTGGAGCTCATCGAAGGAGAAGCTCAAAATGGAAATATCTTTCTGTTATTCATTTAATGATCTAACGTCTTACATTATATAGTATTGATATCCGGTTTATACATATACCGAGATTCAATATAATAGTAAACCAAAATAAAACAAACTCTATTCAACACTCAATATCTAATATCAGCAGGTCTCGGTTCAAGTGGATGATCGCTCAAGAAGTTTTTTGGGTGTTCCAAA